CTGAGGACTCCAGCTCAGGAAGCCCACAGCGCTCTCTGCTGGAGACAGGTGGCAGATCTCCAGATCCCAACACCCTGCAGTTTCATCGTAAAGTTGATGCTGTAAGTGAGCACAGATATGAAATTTCTGATACTCAGGTTCAGACAACATTAGTTAAAACGTTGGAAAAACTAAATTTTTGAAGGCATTGAAGGATGGATGGATTGATAGATTGTTATATTTTCATGACAATATATTAGTGGGTTTTTTCAGTTTAACTAAGCTTCTTGTAGATTTGTTACTGTAAATGAAGCTTTTTTTATTCATTTTGGGGTTTCTCTGCACTAGCCACAAGACAGTATTTAGTTACAATGCTTTTCTTCAAATAGTGTCACACAGAAGAGGCTCTGTACACACTGTACAGACTGTACACACAGGTTTTCATGATGTTTCCTCTTTCCCATTTTAACGTCAATCAACGCTTGTCATCACCTCACCAGTCAGTAGTGCCTTCTTCTCCTACCTGAATGCATATTCACATTCTGTGTGTGTCCCCTTCCACCTTGTGTAAGTGCAGCTGTTTCTGAGTGTCTTGCGATATTTATTAGCTGAGTGTGCCAAGTTCATCATGATAATTACCCAGGGAACCTCTAACGGGGAAGCAGCAGCTGCCATAGAGGCGGCGCTCTCTTATTGCAATTATGGTTGTAAAATTTGTTGGACAGGCCATGGCAGCGAGGGCTCTTTGAGAAAAGGCCACATGTTCATAATACCTATTGTTTGGACTAATCTACACTGTAATAGTGTCACTGATTTTTATGGATTCAGTAGAAATTGTTTGTCGGATGTTAAATATGGCTATGTATTTATCTGTAATAATACATGGATGAAAAAGTCTTCAACCCTGTGTGTAAATTACAGAGCGTAAGAGCATTCATTGTTATCATTCAAGTATTTAGCATATGTATTGCAATAAAAAATGTTGGCTCTCTTACAGATTTCTTCTTTTTTGGTTGATTGTC